GGGCAAGCCAGACCACCTAACGATTAGGATGGCGGAGAGGAACGTGTCTGAAAACTTAGGGTGGGCATTTGCCCACCTTCCTCTATCTGTGAATACAAGGACATTGGACTATTCCAGGCCAGGGCTTTGAGAAGAAAAGATTGTTACAATTATGTTTTTTGGGGTTTTTTTTGAGTTGGAGTCTCTGTCACCCAAGCTGGAGTGCAGTGGCATGCTCACAGCCACTGCAGCCTCCACCTACTGAGCTCAGGCGATCCTTCCACCTCAGACTCAGTCTTCCAAGTAGCTGGAACTACAGGAATGTGCCACCAGACCTGGCTAATTTTTCTTGATTTATTGTAGTGATGAGTTCTCGCCAAGTTTCCCAGGCTGGTCTGAAACCCCTGGGCTCAGGCAATCCTCTTGCCTCTGCCTCCCAAAGTGCTGAAATTATAGGTGTGAGCCACCGTACCCAGCCTACAACTATGTTTTTAAAAAATTTAAAGTTATCATCTTAAATGCTATGACTCTCCCTTCCTTCCAGATATTGCAATTGTCTGTCCCATTCTCTAAAAAACCTGTAAAATAACATATTATAAATTCCAAAATGTTACCTAAAATGTCAACATGACCAGGAGACTTTGTGTCACATCAGCGGTCACGTATCAAAAATTGCTAATGTAAATCTTGAGTCATGCTAAAACTGCACATAGGCTTCAAACTCGGAGTGGGTAAAGGGCTATGAGCTTGGGGTATAAATATTGGAATAAATCTGTGTTGCTTTGAGTGAGTTTTTTGGCAATGATGCCAGCCTGTCTCCCTATGACCTGGTTATAGAAATTAAACACTCCTTTTTCTCCCAGTCTCTGCCTCTTGTGTGTTCATTGGCCTCAAAGGATAGCAGCCAATTGATTGGATTGGGCCGTAGCATCATCACCTGCCACCCGAGGAATTTCTGCTGGTGACCTTAAGGTTCTCTGTGTTAACCTGTCACCCAGAGCAGGGAGAAGTAATGGGGAGGCCCAGAGCAGGTACCCTGCAGCAAGACCTCCAGCCTCTTTGGGTCTCTGTTCCTTTTTTTTTTTGAGTCGGAGTCTCACTCTGTCACCCAGGCTGGAGTGCAGTGGCACACTCACAGCCACTGCAGCCTCGACCTGCTGGGCTCAGGTGATGCTTCCACCTCAGCCTTCCAAGTAGCTGGAACCATAGGCACGTGCCACCACACCTGGCTCAGTTTTTAATTTATTGTAGAGACAAGCTCTCACCAAGTTTCTCATGGCTTGTTTCCAATCCCTGGGCTCAGGCAATCTTCTTGCCTCCACCTCCCAAAGTGCTGGGAATACAGGCATGAGCCACCGTGCCTGGCTGGGTCTCTGATCATTTTTATCTATGAAACAAAGAAGTTGGAATGAAGTCCACTTGCAGCTAGAAAATTCCATGAATTTTTAGTCTCAAACTGAAACAATCTCCCTTATCAAACCATCTTTCCTTTTCCTGTTGTCCTTATTTCTCTATTACTTGTACATTCATTCAGGCATGAAATTCAGAGTAGGCATGTAACGTTTCTTAAAAATGTGAAGCCATGAGATGAAAAAATGTTAAACTTCTTTATGAGTGCAGGAAGAGTTGTAGTCATTGTAGGATAAAATGGAAATATGTTTGCATTTTACTTGGTAAAGATATTTTAAACAGAATTTTAGACATTTATTAGTTTGACATAAAATTTATTGGACCTGATGCAGTAAAAACCAACTTATTTTAACTGGTCAATTTAGCAAGGCAGAGGCCTGGGAAAAACAAAAATAATTGGTGGATAAAAAAATTTATTTTTCTTCAGATTTCTAGAGAATGAAACCAAAAAAATATTTGGAATTATTTCAGAACACTGGGTTTTTTCCCACCTTGGCTTTTTCCGCTTTGACCTTGAGGTCATCCACTTCGCTCTTGTCTAATTATTCATTTGGTCATGTCAGCCGTTCCTTTGGAGGGGCTCTCTGTCTGGTCCCTGTCTCACCTCCACAATGTGGAGCAGTCAGCCCCATCCCCCACATTACGGTCTACGTGACCTTTCTTTTATTTAAAAAGAAAACATTTTCATACAGTGTCCCATGGAACACTGTGTTATAGGCAGAAAAGTGGCCATTTTGGTTGTATTAGAACAGTCATTTAGAAAATACCTACAAACTTGTGTTCTTTTGTAGCTGAGTTGGGCTAAACGCAAAAGCCGCTTGGATTCAAAAGTGGACATTTTTCCTATTCCCCCGGCTCCTACTTCTCTCCTAGCACGGCCTTGCCCTCCTCATCAGTCTTATCTGGTAAGCCATTGCTGGTGCTGAAGAAGAAACAGCCAGGCAAGCCAGACCCCCTAACGATTAGGAGAGTGGCCCAAGGCTGACAGGAACGTGTCTGAAAGCTTGGAGTGGGCATTACCCACCTTCCCTCCATCTGTGAATACAAGAACATTGGACTGTTACAGACCAGGGCTCTGGGAATAAAAGATTACTACAATTATGCTTTCTCTTCCATCCAAAGACTGTAATTGTCTGCCCCTTCCTCTAAAAAAACTGTAAAAGAACATATTGTAACTTCCAAAAATGTTACCTAAAATGACATGACCAGGAGACTTTGTGTCCCAACAGCGATCATGTATCAAAAATTATTAATGTAAATCTTGAGTCATGCTAAAACTGCATGTAGCCTTCAAACTTGGAGTGGGTAAAGGGCTATGAGTTTGGGGTATAAATATTGGAGTAAATCTGTGTTGCTTTGAGTGGGTTTTTTGGCGATGATGCCAGCCTGTCTCCCTATGACCTGGTTGTAGAAATTAAACACTCCCTTTTCTCCCAGTCTCTGCCTCTCGTGTGTTATTGGCCTCAAAGGATAGCAGCCGATTGACTGGATTGGGCCGTAACATCATCACCTGCCACCCAAGGAATTTCAGCTGGTGACCCATCTCTGGGTAGCCTGTCATCAGGGCAGGGAGAGGTAGTGGAGAGGCCCAGGACCTGGGTGCGCCGAGGTGTTTTTCTCTCAGTTTGCAGCAAGTTAGGGGTGGGGTGGGTTTATCTTAGTGAATAGAAAGAATGTTGTCAATTTAAATTTTTCTTCCCTTGGTTAAAAATCACCACCAGGCTGGGCATGGTGGTTCACACCTGCAATCCCAGCACTATGGGAGGCCAAGGCAGGAGGATTGCTTGAGCCCAGGAGTTTGAGACCAACCTAGGCAACATAGCGAGACCTTGTCTCTACAAAAACATTTTATAAAAACTTAGCCAGGTGTGGTGGTATGCACCTGTAATCCCAGCTAGTCAAGAGGTTGAGGTGGAAGAATCACCTGAGCCCAGAAGGTTGAGTCTGCAGTGAGCCGTGATCATGCCACTTCACTCCAGCCCTCCAGCCAGGGCAGCAGAGTGAGAGTCCCAACTTAAAAAAAAAAAAAAAGCCAAAAAACCTCATCACTACTACCAAAAGAAACCCAACCAACCAAACAAAAAAACCCTGTGCTTCCTACCACTTGTACTAGAAAAGACTAGCAGAAAGTAACGTTTTAAAAAAATCAAGTAATAGGTATAGTGGCTTGCATCTGTAGTCCCAGCTACTTGGGAGATTGAGACAGAAGGTTGGCTTGAGCCCAGGAGTGTGAGGCTGCGGTGAGCTATGATTGCACCACTGCCCTCCAGCCTGCGCGGCAGGGTGAGACTCGTTTCTCAAAAACAAAAACAAAAAAAACCTAGGTGCCTGATTTACTAGGAAAGCTCAGAAACTGCATGGGGATATGCAATGCTGGCCTAGGGGAGCAAGCTCTTCTTTGGAGGGGGGCCCATCTCTCAAATGAGTCTGGTATGGGGTGGGGGCATGGAAATGCACAGAGATCTCAGCCAGGCCCATGAGAATATTCCTCGTGACCACTGGAACTGGTTCGGGGATGGGAATACGGCCCCAGCCTTCGGGGTTGCCTCTGGAGAGGGAGGTGGCTTTTCCTTTCGGGGCGCTGGGGCTGCCGGTGGCAGAGGAAGCTTACTGCCCAGGGAGAGCGAGGCTACCTAGGATGGAGAGGGTTCTGATGACATCCGAGTGCCTGGTCCAGCTGGGCTTGTAGCTGGAACCCCTCTGGACTCCGACAGAGAGCAAGCCGACGCTGCCTGTCATGGCTGAAGGTGCGTCACGTGGTCATGCTTTCTTCGGGTATGGCGGCTCCCTAGGTTGTGTGGCGGAAGTCAGTGCGTCGGTATCTCTCCGGGCTCCTCAGAGAGCCCTTTGGTTTTCAGCAGCTCTGCGCGAGAGCCTTGGTCTAGATCACACGCGACGCATGTCTGTGCCGCCAGGATGCCCTCATTCTCGGCTACGGCTCCGCCAGGCCGCTCTCGTTGTCCCTGCCCGGGCCGGGCTCATTCACCCGGGGGCGCTTCACCATCCCGTCTTCCCACCTCCCCGGCAACCCTTCGGGCTTGACCCTCAAACCCCGGAGGCCTCCACCGAGGTGAAGCCGGAGTCCGCCAGGAAAGGGGCTGCGGGCGGGCCCCGTCCCCGCCGAGCCCTTGCGGCGCGCCTCGCGTTCGCCTTGCCAGGACTCGCGAACGGCCGGACCGCAGGGAGCTCCTCCCCCAAGACCACCAGCCCGACGCCCGAGGCCGCCTGCTGGGGCCGCTCCCCCGACAGCTCCGAGTGCGCCCAGTGGGGGCTCCCCCGTCCCGAGGCGCCGGCGTCTGCGACCGCGGCGGCGCCGGCCCCCTCGCCGCGTGCCAGTTCGGCCGCCCGAGCGCCAAGGCCTCCGGCGAGCCCGCCCCCGGGGCCTGCGCCGCCGGGCCCGGAAGGCTTCCGCGCCTCGGCCGCCTCCACCCGCGCCGCCACTCCACCGCGTGCCCGCCGCCGG